GTTTAGGGCTGAGGGTTTAGGGTTGTCTCGAGTTGTAGAGGGACTTGTAGGGCTTCCAGTATAGGTTTCATAAGTTGTAAACTTGGTTTCGATAAGGGCCCCTTGAACACATGCTGGTATGATATGTGTATAACCTAAAGGCCTGAATATCTTGTAAAGCAAAAATGCCGTACCGTCCCCACATGCTTATTACCCTTTGTGAAGTAGGCCCAGGGTTCTGGGCTTTAGCAGCTGGCGGTGCTTTGGGTGATGAGTCTATGTAGGTTTCTAGGGTTTTGGTTGGGGGGTTTAGGGTTTTGGGTTTAGGGGTTTGAGGTTTCATGTAGACCCCAGATAACTAAACCTCTCTCCAATTTATGACCCATTTGTCGGGCGTTCAAAGACAGGGGTTTGCTAATCAGGGGTCTACTTTAAAGACCCCAAGCCCAAATTCAACCCAAGAAGCCCTAAACCCAGCCCTTAAAGCGTAGATTACGGATTCCTGCAATCTTAGGGCTGGTCTTCAGGAAACCTCAACCTTAAACTCTAAACCTAAACCCTAAACCCTAAACCCTAGGCCTTAACCCTGAACCCTAGGCGCTGGACCCCAGACAACACATCGTGTATTACGGCTGTTCTTCCTGAAGTCTAGGACATTTTCAGGTGGGTAGCTACCGTTATAGGAGCCTTATAGCTAGTCTATATACCTTATGGAAGCCATATAGAAGCAAGCCCTAAACCCTAAACCCTAAACCCTGAACCCTAAACCCTAAGCCACCATATACCCTAAACTCCCCACCTGTACTTTCCTTTAATGAAGGGAGGGCTTAGGAGGCCACTTAAGGGTTTCGCGGGTTCAGAACGCCGAAGGATTGACTCCTGTGCCCCCTGCCCCTTAGGGTTTAGGATTTCAGGGTTTAGGGTTTAGGGTTTAGGGTTTAGGGTTTTAGGGTGTCCATGACTCTTATCTTCATAGGTTTAGGGGTTTTTTAGATGTTAGGGGTTCCAGAGTTAGGACTGTAGGGCTTTAGGGTGGGGTGTTTGGCGCGTTAGGGTTTTCAGGTGCTAGCGCTGCTTGACGCTGTTTTGATTTGACTGGGACTGTCAGGAAGAGTGGCTTCGGGGGATGACACATTTGGACTTGCATCGTCCAGATACCCTAAACCCCAAACCCCAAACCCTGAAACCCAACCCCCAAACCCTAAACCCTAACGCCTAAACCCAAAGCCTCTAAACCTTGCGGCAAATCGCAAAAGACACGAAACTGCGAAGGTTCGGGGAACGTGTTCTCGGGCTGCAGAGGCGTAGGCTTTACGGTTGAGGGTTCACGGTTTAGGGGTTCAGTCAGGGTTTAGGCCTTCAGGGTCCACGGTTTAGGTTTTTCGGGCTCAGAGTTTTCAGAATCAACTTTTCAGCTTCGACGACGAGAGTGCGCCGTGACCCGTACAGCCGCCTTGCTTCCAGGAGCTCTCAAGAAGGTGCTTCCGGATTTTTACTCTTCGCTTTCGGGCTTGAGGTTTTAGGTTTTAGGGTGTTGGGCTCCTTTAAGGATTCCTTGAAGGGTTCCTTCAAGGCTTCCTTCATTCAAGGGTTCCTTTAAGGCTTCCTTT